TCGGGCAAGCGGGGCGACATTCTTATTCGTCAAGGATGTCGGAGCAGACTCAAGAGGTGTGGTGTGATAAACTCACACACGGGCTTATGCCGTGCGGTGGATCACCCTGCCATCGCGGCAGCGACCGTATGTATCCGCCACCGTGCCGCTGGGCACGGAGAGGGCGTGCCCTCAGGTCCTTTGCGCCATCCCTTGAGCCTCAGTCCTCACTCCTGAGGAATCTTTGAGGGGGCCTGGACCCGAAATTGCCAAATCTCCAAGGGCCTGGCGCGTGTCCCTGGGGTTCCCGCCAACTTCTCGTATGACTTCTTCGCGCCCAGGAGGGCTCCGGGACGGACAAAAAGAGGGCCCCAACGAGGCCCCGAAGACGGTCCAAGAGGGCCACGAGACACCCAATGGCCGTTCCAAGACGCCCACGATAATCCCAAGACGGCTGAATAGGCCCCCGAGACGCCCCGAGAGAGCCCCCAAAAACTCCCCAAGAGGGCAATTACCGAGGGGACAAAAACATTCATTGTCCATAGGTTTTAAAATGGTGCTGGGGTCCTCGACGGTTCGAGCTCCCGACGCTCCAAGACGGCCCAAGAGGCCCGCAGGACCGCCCCGAGACGGCCCATGAGTTCCCCAGCGGGGCCCCAACACTGCCCAAGAGGGCTCCAAAATGGCCCCAGAGGCGCCCAAGACGGCCCAAGAGGGCCCAAAGACAGACCCAAGAAGGGCCCACGAGGGTGAACACGAACTGAAAATCCGAGTCTTCCGCCCAAAAAGGCGACCAAGAGGCTCCAAGAGACCCCAAAGAGGCCCCAAGATACCCTCAAAAACGCCGAAGACGTCCAAAAGGCCCCAACACGGCCCCCCAGAACCGTCAAAACCGCCCCCAAGAAGCCCCGAGGGGTCTCCAGCGACATCCTAACGAGCGTCCTAGGAGCCCGTGGCCCACAACCCAGGCACGGTGGCGGGATGTGCCGTAGGCGTCTTCGATCCGCCGCCCCCTGCGCATTCATCACAGGGGTGCCTGGCGTGCTGGATCCTTTCGGTTTTGGTTTTGGCTCTCTTTCCAAAAGAGCTCTCCCCTGGGGCTCCGGCCCAGCTCGCGGGCACCCCGGAAGGCTGCACAAGGCCCGGTTGCAAAGGTTTTTCTTCGTCCAGACAGGCCCCAAATGGCCAAACATGGCCGCCAAGACTGCCAAGATGGCCCTCAAGATCGCCCAAGATGGTCCAACATGGCCTCCAAGACGGCCCAAGAGGGTCCAAGATACCTCCAAGACCGCCCAAGAAGCCTCCGAGACGGCCCAAGACGGGCCCAGAGACGATCAAGAGACCTCCAAGAGGGCAGCAAGAGGCCTCCGAGAGGTCCTCCAGGAGGGCCCGAAGAAGCGAAAATCATTGATTTGCCTGAGGTTTTTCAAGGATTAGCGTATTTGCTCCGTTTCGGCCTTCCGACGGCTCGAGACGGCCCGAGAGGCCCCGAGAACGCCCAAGAGGCCCCTAAGACTCCCAAGAGGCCTGCAAGACGGTCCTGGAGCATTGCAAGAGGGCCTCAAGTCGGCCCAGAGAGGCCCCCCAAACGGCTTCCGACGGCTTCAGATGGGCCAGGAGCCCACCAAGAGGGCCTCCAGGAAGAGCCGAAGAGGCCAAAATCATGGATTTCCATATTGTTTTTGAAGGATTTGGGCATTTGCTTTTTTCTGCCTTACGACGGCTCGAGACAAGAGCCACCAAAGATCGCCCAAGAGGCCTCCAAGATGGCCCCAGAACGGCCCAAGAGGCCTCCAAGACGGTCCCGGGACGGCCCAAAGACGACCCAAGAGGCCTCTAAGACGCCCAAGAAAGCCTCCAAGACGGCCCTGGAGCTTTCCAAGAGGGCCCCAAATCGGCCCAGAGAGGCCCCCAAGACGACTTCCGACGGCATCAGGCCAGGAGCCCACCAAGACGGCCCAAGAGGCCTCTAAGACGTCCAAGACGGCCCAAGCAGCCTCAAAGAGGGCCACCAGGAAGGCCCGAAGAGGCCAACATCATCGATTTGCCTATTGTTTGCTGTCGAGGATCTGCGCATTTGCTTCTGCTCGGCCTACCGACGGCCCGAGACGGCCCGAGAGTCCCCAAAGATCGCCTCAGGATCGCCCAAGAGGCCTCCGGGATGGCCCCAGAACGGCCCAAGAGGCCCCCTTAATGCGGCCCAAAGAGGGCCCCAAGACGGCTCGAGGGGCCTCCAAGATGCCTGAGAAGGCCGCCAAGAGGGGCCCTGGAGCACCCCGAGAGGGCTCCAAGTCGGCCCAGAGAGTCCCCCCAGACGGCTTCCGACGGCGTCAGACGAAACATAAAAAACATAGTCAAAGAATACACCCAACTCGGAAAACAATTCTCCGAAGATCGTCCCCAGACTATTTTTTGTGACTATCTTTGCACATCCCTCCTCTAGAGGGACAGGCCCGACGTGGCCCTAAGCTGAACACCACGTGGCCCCCCGGTCGCTGAAGTGCACGGCGCCGAGGCAAGAGCCGCGTCTTGGCGAAGGACCCGCCCTTCGTCCGCGCAGCTGCTGCCAGCGTCTTCGACCCTCCTACTCTTCCCCCTGCTCCTCCTCCTCCTCCTCCTCCTCCTCCTCCTCCTCCTCCACCCTCCTCCTCCTCCTCCTCCTCCTCCCCCTCCCCCTCCTCCCCCCCTCCTTCTCCTCTCCTCCTCCTCCTCCTCCTCCTCCTCCTCATCCTCCTCCTCCTCCTCCTCCTCCTCAGGCGAGAACAGCAGTTTGACAACCACCTCCCTCCATCTTGAGGGGGCCCTGGGACACACAAATAGATACACAAGAGGGTCCCCCACATGTTCCTACATCTTCTGGGTTTTCGTCTTCCCCCCATTTCCCATAGTTTCCCATGTTTCCCTGGGAGATCGACGATTCATGGTGTCTGTGCGCTTTTTCCCCTCCTGAAGTTTGAAAATCGCCCCCCTCCGTCTGTGAAGCTGCTGCAAGCTTCAACCTTCAGGACCATGCATGGTGGGAGAGTCGCAAAAACGAAAAGGTCCTGCCCTGCCCCGCCGAAACGTTCAGGGCCTCGACGGGGAGGAGCGGTTCCCCAGGCAGAGCTTGCACACAGGGGCTCTTGCTTGTGGCAAGAGGAGCTGGACATGGCTGTCGGTCTGGCGGCTAACTATGTTGTCGCCGTCGCCGCCCCGTCGCCGCCTCGTCGCCGCCCGTCGTCCGGGCCTGGCTGGCGGTCTGGCGCGCCTGTTGTCGCCGTCGCCGCCCGTCGCCGCCGTCCGCCGCCGCTGCTTCTGGCCTCGCTGGCTGTCGCCGTGCTTGTTGTCGCCGTCGCCGCCGTCCTTCGCCGCTGCTTCGGGGCCTGGCTGGCGGTCGCCACACTTTTTGTCGCCGTCGCCGCCCGTCGCCGCTTATCCCACCCTTGGGATTGCAATTTACACACGATTCTACCCCATCGACTATTCGAAATATGAACTCATACCAGTCTAGCCCAGCCAAGATCGACCCCCCCACCACCTTCTGCAAAAACACAATGCGCGCGCACTCGTTTATCAAAATCAACCATGTGAAACAACCCTTTGCTTAAAAATCCGACGACGTGCACACGCGCGCGACGTCGTTTTCGCATGCCGAAGCCCTTCACAAAAATCTGTGGAATCGCAGGGGGGTCAAAAATCGAATGTCCTGAAAGCACAAGAAACAACCCAGATGGTTTTGCAGCATTTGGTTGCGCGAAAAGGCCTGCGCGCGCGCTCCTGCATGCGAAGCCGCAGGAACCAACGGCTTTCCACAGCTTACTCCAGATTTCGTAATAAAGGGAGGAGGGTCTCATTTCGGGGGGGTCTCTTCCAGGCTATCTTGGAGGGCCTGGGGGGTCTGGGGACGATGTTTTGGAGGGTTCTCCCACGGGGGAGGTCTGAAATGGCTTGTCTTGGAGGGTCCAGACCCCCTCCCTTTTATTACGAAATCTGGAGTAATCACACGAGGGCCCTCCCTGGGCGCAGGGGACTTCAACAGAACAGCTCAGGATGAGGCACCCCGTCCGCGGGGAGAGGTGCAGATCTCTGGGGAGCCATGCTGCGATACAGTCGCGACGTCGGATGTCTGGGAATGCGCATGCACCGATCCTGGCCAGGCCCAAGATCGGTGCATACGCCCTCCTGGCTTGGCCAAGGAAGCATCTATCCAGAAGTCCAGAGTCATGCTGTTTGTCCACCACAAGGGCCCCCGGAGGTTTGGCCCCCTTGCCCGGGGCTGGTTTCTCGTACCGAGTCGTGTGTTTACGGTCCTGGTGCCCAATGAATCAAGGCACCCAAAGGCCGAAAGCGGCCAAACATCTCCCGACGTGACTTCTTCAAGACGAGGGGGGTCGACCAAACGATAAAAACATAAACTTTCGAAGGTCCGCGTTGACTTCTTGGATCGGCGCTGGACCCCCCTGTGTCTGCGAGCTAGGCCCTCTAGGGAGGAAGTCCAGCGCCGATCCGAGAAATCCGCACGGACCCCAAAAAGCTTATGTAAATGCAGTTTGTGGAAGCCTCCCAGATGGGGTCCAAGTAGGCTTGATCGGAGGTTCGCGCCGCATCGGCGACGCATCGGCGACGTTGGCGACGCATCGGCGCCGTGATCGTGCTCATTTCTAGTTCTGCTCGTTTCTAATTGTGCCTGGCCCCCCAGGACGATGCCCAGGATAGAGCAATCAGAAACGAAATGACCTTGCCCCCCCCCCGAAAATCAAAGAACTCCCGAAGACTTAGAAATGAACAGTGTGTACAGAGGAGGAGGGGGAAGGAGGAGGAGGAGGAGGCGGAGGAGGAGGCGGAGGAAGAGGAGGAGGGGGGAGGCGGAGGAGGGGGGGAGGAGGAGGAGGAGGAGGAGGAGGAGGAGGAGGAGGAGGAGGAGGGGGAGGAGGAGGAGGAGGAGGAGGAGAGGAGGATCCTGGGCCCAGGAGGGGCCTGGCCTGGGTCGCCGAAGGTGCACGGCTCGCCCGAGGCGCGCGCGAGCCCCGCGGGCTCTCCGCTCACATGACGCTGCAGGCGCAGCAGGGCGCCAGGGCCGGGTCGAAGGCCTCGTCGGGCGTGTAGTCCTCGTGTTAGGTCGGGCATGTCCCCCTACAGAGGGATTTTGGACGGACAGTTTAAAATTTACCAATCATACCCCCAAATGGTAAAAAAAATGCTAAACAATTGTCCCCTGACTATTTTTTTAATATTTTTGAACATACCTCCAGTAGAGGGACAGGCCCGACTTAGTCCTCGTGTGCAGGTCTTTTTGTTAGGGGGGGGCGCGGGCCCCCTCGGGTCACGATTTCCAGCCTCTCGGGGCACTCATCGGGCCCGGGACCGTCCCCATAAGGAAGAGGAGGAGGAGGAGGAGGAGGAGGAGGAGGAGGGAGGAGGAGGAGGAAGAGGAGGAGGAGGACGAGGAGGCCGCGTGGGATAAACATGTGATCCCCGGGGAGAGGCCTGCGGTGGCCCCCGCCGTGGAACAGAACACGACGGCGGGAGTCTGGGAAGGAGGGGCGGAGAACAGGGAGGGTAGACGAGAGCAGGCGGAGGAGGAGGAGGAGGAGGAGGAGGAGGAGGAGGAGGAGGAGGAGGAGGAGGAGGAGCAGGAGGAGGAAAAGGAGGAGGAGGGGGAGCAGGAGGGGGAGGAGGAGGAGGAGGAGGGAGGGAGGAGGAGGAGGAGGAGGACGATTCGATTCGATTCGGAGGGCAGAGGAAGCCGGATTAAGCCAGGGTATCAATCGACAGATCACAAACTTGGAGAGACCACGACGCTCCTGGGGGGGACAGTCCGCGGCACAAACGAGCGAACACCTCCAACCCTGCTTGAGGAGGAAGAGGAGGATTTATTGAAAGTCCTCCTTCTCCTCGTGCTTCGTGCCCTTTTCTGCGGTGGGCGTCCCGTTTCGATGGCAGCGCGATCTGATTCGCTGTGCCGACTGCTGTGGGGATTGCGGTCAGAGAGAGGCAGAGGAGGAGGAGGAGGAGGAGGAGGAGGAGGAGGAGGAGGAGGAGGAGGAGGAGGAGGAGGAGGCGGAGGCGGAGGCGGAGGAGGAGGAGGAGGAGGAGGGGGAGGAGCGGGAGAAGGAGCAGGGCGTGAGGAGATGTTTGCCAGCATGCCGTGGGAGGAGGGATGGGGGAGGAGGAAAAAATTCGCTGGCCCGACGGGCCAAAGGCGTGCTGAGATCCCCGGTAACAGGCTTACACGATATATTTATAATTCGCGCGCGCGGGCTGGCCCTTGGGGGTCCTCAGACGATAAGTACCCAGGTGGCAGCCTAGTGGCAGCCCGGAAGCAGCCCGGTGGCAGCCTGGGCGAAGCGCGGTTGACTCCCCCAGAGCGGTCCAGAAGCGCGCCAAGAGGGCCCCAAAACGGACCAAGAGGGCTCCGAGTCGCCGGACGTCGGTCCAGGATGCCCAATAGCCTCCAATCGGCCCCAAACGCCTCCAAGACGCCCGAATATGCCTTCATGGCGCCTCTCCGGAGGCCCCCAAGAATCAACAATTCATGGTATTCCTATGGTTTTTGACGAAGTTTGGCGTTCTTGCCTTGTCGGCCCACAGGCGATCCACGACGGTCCAAAGGCCCCCTAAGATCGCCCCAGCACGGCCGAAAACGCCCACAAGAGAGCGCCCCACAACGGCCCCAGCGGGCACCAAGACAGCCCCAGAGGCCTCCAAGATGCCCCAAGAGAGGCCCCCAAGCCGGCTCCAAGAGCGAGACCCGACGGGGGAAGAGAACGGACACCTCGCGCTATAGGCCCCGAGATGTCCGCAGGAGACCCCGACAGGCCCCCAAGGTGCACCCGAGAGGGCCCAAGAGGCCCCCAAGAGGCCCCATGACGCCTCAGAAATACCGCCAAGAGGCCCCCGAGAGGCCTCCCAAGAGACCCCGTGACGCTTCCCAAAGGGGCGTCTTGTCCACGACCAAGTTTGGCCCCAATATGCCCCAAGAAGCAATCGAGAGGCCTCCTCCTCATCCTAAGCCTGCCCTATTAATCTTCCGCGTTGCATGTTGCATGCTACTGAGGGGAATCCGTACACTCCACGGGCCCGACAGCGGGATCAGCAATGTGTGATCCGCTGGGCTGGTACTCCGAGGGCCCTCGCGCAGTCCCCCTGCGAGCGGGCGGCCAAGGGGCACGGCCATTGCTGCAGTCCTTGCGGCAACAATCCTCGAAGCATCCTGGTCCTGGCCTTCTTCCCCGCGCTTGCGGGGGGGCGGCGCGCGTCCTTCAACTTGAAGGCTCTTCTGGTTGAGACCCCCCCGCACCTCCCACTAAAGGCAACTCCGCGGAGGGCGTGGAGGTGCGGGGGGTGGGTCCCATGGAACACCTGGGCATGATTAGGCTTGCGTGGGGCATCAATCCAGGGCCCCCTGGCCCCGGAGATCTCATGCCGAAAACGCACTCTGCACCGCAATCCCTCTGTGAACTCTTCAAGGATGTGCTGTGCATGGCCCCACTTCTTGGGGGCCTTGACCCGCCCCCTCTTCTTGGGGGCTGGGGGCGGGGCGGGGGGGGCCTCCCAGAACAACTCCTGGATGGCAGCTACTCGGTTCAGGATGGGCGAGAGCTCGCGATCAGCATCTAAAACTGGTTTGGCCACCCAATCAGGAAGCTGAACTCGTTCAACAGCGTCGCCAGCTATCTGGTCGGCAAGCTGGTTGGCCACGTAGGGCCAGGGCTGGATATACTAGCCCCTGAAATCCGACCCCGCAGGATGAGACTGGGTTCAGTGAAGCTCCATGGCCCCGTCGAAGCCCTGGTAGGCCTCCCAGAAATCTTGCCACAAGTCGACGTTACTCCAATGTCTCCACTGGGGTCCTTTTGAGAAAACACAGTAAACCTGGGCAGAATCAGTCGCGATGGTTAGCTCCCCTGCGAGGTCATGGATGGCCTGGGTCACCGCGCAGAGCTCCCCGCGGTTGATGGTCTGCTTCCCGGGCAATTCTCATCGCGATAATCCAATGGTATCGAGATCGGCGTCTTTCACTCGCGCCCCCCAGCCAACTCTCCTCAGCCCCGGGCAATTGGGAAACGTCCCCCACTAGCGTCCGTCCCCACCAGGAACTTGCCTTTGATGGGCCCGCCCTGGATCACGAAGGCCCCCGTGGCTCCGAGGGTGGCTCGGGGTGGGTGTTGTTACAGGTGTCCTGCGGCGAGGTCAGCTGGTTGCAGTCCTCGTCCCCGCTTCACTGCGCATGATGGAAACTGATCGATGGCCTTCTGGAAAAGGTGCTGGGAGTCGAGGATCGCATCACCAGTACTCTTCTGCAACGCTAGGCACGTTCAAAAGCGGCGGAGGTCATCTTCAATCGGTGCTTCACACCTGGCACACCTGGCATGGTTTGCATTCGCGAATCCGAGCGTTAGTCCAAATCGATGCTTTCCCCAGGGCGCACAGCGCTGTGGCGCGGGTAGGCTGCTCGTATTTCCGAAGCTTTCGGCGGATTCTCTGGAACTGGAAGGTATCGATCCCGTTCTCGGCGCCCCCTCCAAGGTGAAACGGTGAAGCCCTTTCCCATGGGACCCTGGGCGCGTGCTCGCTGAAGTCGTCCAGGAAAACAGCTTGGGCCTTGAGGTCTCAAGGAACCAGTTTATATCGTTCCCCACCAGGATCCATCCCCAGGACCTCACCAGGTACACGTCTAAGTCATGGAGGGTAGCGATCAGGGCGGAGAAGAGGGAGGTAACCTTGCCCCACCTCGTCCTGCCTGTCAAGCGAGCAACGGCGGGAGTCCATCTGCTACCCATTGCTTTGTGCAGCTCAGGATTCTGGTTGACCAAGTCGAACCAGGAGGTAACAACTTGCATTGGCAGGTAGTTCGCAGGATCCTCCTGTTGCTGGCCTCGGGCGGACCAGGCGAAACCTGCTGTCGTGCAACCATACTTGGGGACATATCCTAGCCCTCGAACGGGTCGCCCACGGACTTGCTTGAGAACCGACGGCGTGGTGCCCTGCCCCTGCTGGCCCCAAACGAATTGCGGGCGGGCTCCCGTGTTGACCAACCTCCGACTTTTCTTGGTGGCCCTTGTGAGCCTGGTAGTCCCACTGAGCCTCTGGAGCCCCTTCTTCATACGCTCCTTCCAAATCTTAAGTCGCCTGCAGAGCCCCATGGCGGTGTCCAGGCCGAGGTCCCTCCCGTGAATGCTGGTATTCACCGCCCACCCCATCTCCTCAGTCTGGAAACTAAGTCGAGAACCGGATCCAAGAACCGACGCCAAGACGCAAGACTTGGGGGAGAGCTTGCAACCGTGAGCCTCGAGCTGCCGACCTAGGAACTCGATGGCCTCCGGGACAAGGAGCCCCACACTCCCAGTCTTAGGTCATCGACCCACGTGCGAGAACGTACCTGGGGGAACTGGTAATGCATCTGTCCCAAAATGTTATACAGGAAAGCTCGGGCGAGGGCGGTGGATTGCGTGCATCCTTGCAAGACGCTCTCGGTAGGCAGGTTGGTGATGAACATCCGATCGAAACCGACGACAATAATCTGGCAGCCTGGTGGACAATCATCGCTAACAGGAGCGGGGTTGTGGGGTATTCAAGCTTGATGGCAACCACACATACACATTCTGCGCAAATAGTGCCAAAGAACATCTCAATGCCCACCAGCGCCTCTGCTAAAGGAATCTGCAAATTGGTGGCCAGCTCGGCCGGCACCTCGCTCAAAAGGGCGGCGCGGAGGCGGCAGGAGGAACCTCGGACTGCCTCGTCCCAGACGCCTGCTTTTTTGGCACCCCACTCGGTGAGCCCTGGACGATCAAGTCTCACCAGGACCCGATAGAAACTGCTGGTGTGGGTGATGTAACGGTCGGATTCGATTGACTTTGGGAGGAGGCGTACCATATTGATCAAGACCTGCGCTGGAAACTTACATCTCTTCCGAACCTGGTTGATCAGGTCGGTGAAGGCGGTCCTGCCCTCGGGCGGCAGGGCATCCAGCTCCTGCGGGTTCCATAGGTCAGCGCCTCCTGCCGAGCTGGGGCTACACCTGCGTACAACTTGAAAC